AACTAATTTAAATTGAAATTACTTTTACTCTTCAAAAATAATTAGGTGTATGATACTTTCAATTTTTTTATATTTGCATCTATCCAGCCTATAAATTAGAAATTCATTTTGCCGCCATAACCGGTTTTATACGAAAAACGCACATACAGATGATATATTGAGAAAGTAATAGGTTAAGAATTATTTAAATATGACATATATATACATAATAATTGCCAGAGATCACTGTTGAACAAACGAATTTGTAGTCATTTGTATTAAACACTCACTGCAGATTGTGCTTACGATCTTTATTTGTTAATTAAATACCACTAACAGAATCTTTTCACCTTTACAGACGCAATCTCATTGACGCTCTGATCTGGATCAGAAATAACAGAATATTCCACGAACGGTGTCGCTGAGTCGCTCACGCGATATGACCTTCAGCAGGGACCTAGGTGGGGATGCGTTAAGTAGTGTGAGAGCATTATGGTCCGCTGACTTACTGTGCCTATTGCGCGAGGTGGGGAGAGCTATTGGAGTAGAAAGAAATGAACTGCTTTCATGAACGAAGGGGGAGAAGCTCCGTCCGTGAGAGAGGAACAGTCAAATCGGCCATTTTCTACGCCCGACTAGTGGCGCCGCCTATCTGTACAACTTGCTTTCCGTATACGAATACTCGCGCTAACGCGTGCCACCTCTCGATGCGCATGCGTTTGCGTCATACATGCATACGTGTGCGTACATGAATCTGAAAAGTGCGCCACTAGTCGGGCGGATAAAATGGCTGATATTTCTGATACCCCTTCCGTTTCCCGTCACAAGAACCGGCAGGCAATACTCTGTCCTTCAGGTCCATGGTCTGACATACGAAATAAGGGATGTATACGCTTTCGTGAAACCAAAAATCTAATACAGTGGTCGATATGAGAAGTCTACTAATGGCTGTCAAATCTCAGTACTCCTGCGCATGCGCGTTCCCACTTAGGACGCCATATTGAAGTTACGGCTTGACGCAGGTGCCGCTTCTCGACTACAAACAGTGTCTGAATTTGTCGCGGCTCGCGTATACCTGTATACGTGTGTACGTGTGGAGGGGCAGAAATTCTAATGACTGCCCTCAGTCTGGCAGTCTGGCATCTCTGTCGTCGGGTACTGCATGCAGTTGCGTCTTGGACGTATCGTGTCGTGTTGTGTCGCAATAACGTCTCGTTCAGTACGAAGTCAGTCCTCGTCGAACGCGAATACCGGATAAAGTGAGAAAGAACCAGTGCCAATCGAGTTCTCTTCTCCGAGTTAACCTGTCGGTGTTTCGGGCGCCTGGTGTCATGTAAAAACCGCGTGTGCCCATCGAATTACGTCGGACTCGGACGATTTCGACCGAAGAAAGTACATACATACATACGTATATATACGTCGAAAGACAGTTTCGATAGGCCTTCCCGGTTTCTCCTCGCATTTCGCGTTATCCATTTATCGTTTCTCTAACGGGGACGTGCCAGTGCCGCGGGATATGCGTTAAACCGTGCGTTAGACTCCATCGGAGATTTCGAAGAAAGTGCGAGCATACGTATTCGGCGATGGATTAGGAATAAGGGCAACGTGTTCCGTCTCCCAGTCCACACTCAGGTGAGTCCACTAGTCCCGTAGGTACGCACATATGCTCGGGTAGTTATATACATATATCGATACGTACCGTCTTTTTATAGATAACCTGCGTTTTATGCAGGGTAAGTCAATAAGAGTTTTATTCGAAAATAACTTTGTGTTTATTAATAAGAAATTTTTAGAGAAT